TTGGCCTTTATCTTTAGGTTGCATCAGTCTCTATATGTAAAGTTACTCATTCAGCTGAGCATTCTCATCTCTGGAGCACCTAACTTTATTTTATGCTTCTCTTTTAATAGCCAACATTTTATGCCATAAAACATTGCTGGTCTCACGTCCATCTTATAAAATTTTCCTTAAGTTCAAGCATACTTTTCCTTAACTCTACAACACTATTGTTGTTTGAACCCAAGTAGGAGTGTCAAAATGAGTTTTTTTGTCGGGTTCGGGTCTAACCCAAAATTGACCCATCATTGACAAATCGAATTCAAACCTGACCTGATTACTTAAACGGATCATAAATTTAAACCCGGACCCGACCCGCCCCAAATCGAGGTCGACCTGACCTGACACATGGACCCGAGAAAGCGCATAGTAGGCGAGCCTCAAGGGTGGGCCATTAGGCACGGGAGCTAGCTCGGCTGAGCAGGCTAGCCGCGTGAATGACAAGTGTGGGCGGGATGTATGGTGCTGTAGGATGCAGGTCATTTCCTGGTTAGTGGGTTGACCCGAACACGTTCTGATTTTTCAAACAGGTTGGGAATTAGATTTCGAACCCAGCCCATTAGTTAAATGGGTCGACCGAAAATCATATTTTTCGGGTCGGGTTTTCAAGTCATGTCATAAATTGACATCCCTCCTCCCAAGCCCTATTTGAGAGAAGTAGAGGATTGTGTTAGGTAGTTAAGAATCACTATAAAACTTGTCGAACAACTATGACATGAATCATCTCAAATGATTTAAATTCAGTGGTTGGGGATTAAAATGCCCTTACTCTTGATAATCTTAGAGCTTTTGTTAGTAGTTGCAACAACATAGAGCTTGGGAAAAAACTTCATGGGACCAACTATTGTTTTAGCCTTGCAATTTTAACAGTATGATGTAGTTAGCCGATTTGAAAAGGTTTTCAGATAGCCAAAATGAAGTACATGTAGCCCATATTTGTGAAAACTGAGTCGGACAAACCAAATTGAGCTAGATTGGTTTAATTTGAGTTGATTTAGGTGAATTTATCTCAATCGACTCAATTGAAGTCGGCTCTTCTCGATTGAGTTAATTTGATGCAACCCAACTCAATTGAACTCAATTTAATTTAATTTAAATTAATAAAATGCAATATTACTCATATTAATTGAATTTGAGTTAATTCTTGATTGAGTTGATTTAATATAATTTTATTTGATTTAATGAAGTTGTATGTCAAACCAAACAAGATGGTTGATTAATTGAATTGATTAATTCAATTTACGTAATCTAAGTAATGTCGAGCTAAAGATAAAATTATGATTGAATAAATTAGTCAAATTTGATTAAATTAAATTGTCTCAAGTCAAAATTGAGTTGAAATTAGATTTTTCATAAATCTAAGCCATTTCGATTAAAAAATTGAACCAATAGATGGCACGCTCTGTGAAAGAACAATGTATCCTATGAACTAATTTTATCAAATGAGATAACTATGCATCACTATTTACATGACTTTTTTAACAAAGTGCGTATGATACATCAAATTATTTAAAGAAAATTTTATTTATTTGTCCTCCAAATGTACAGTGTTGTTGACCTCTAAGTATTAACCAACAGAACAAAAAAAAATCAAAATACCTGTAAACTGTCGGATCCACAAACTCCGCTGAAAATCTCCCGCGAATCCTGCCGAAGATCTGCCGAGGTACTGTACATCAGCGCCGAATCAATCGCTTCTCCGTAATTTTTGCTCAAATCCCGCCTCGGTCCTTCTCCCTTCGCCTCTTTAAAAGCCAACAAGAAGGAGCCTTCAAGATTCATTTGCTCCTCTCTCGAACTCTCTCGGCTCTTACCCCCGCTCCATCTCCCTCTCTCAGTCGATCGGAAGCGACGACACCTTGGATCGGAAACAACTGCAAGAGCTCATTGGCTTTGGAGCTTCGACGACTCGCCCTTCCAGTCGGATCGGACGTTACGACGTTTCGATCGGAAGTAAGAACGGGAGCTGCTTGCTGTGGAGGTGACTTTCTCCCTCATGATCGCTTCTCAGAACTCAGATCATAAAGTCCTCGCAAAATGAGGGCGAAATCTCTAGGTAGTGTCTTATCTACAAACCCATCTGCCTTCCAAAATTTACCTCGGAACTTATTCAGTTAAAACTCCCTCGCCAAATAAAGAAAAGAGCGGGGAGGCCGGGGCCGAATTTTCGGAGCCCACAAGTGCAAATGTATTGAAAAACATACGTATTCACTGTAAAAGCATAGGGAAGGGTGTTCAAATATATTATTGACTATGGAAGCGCACCGCATAAGAGCACAAAAGATCATGCAAGCGTGAAAGTGCATCAAGTTATGTTTAAATTTATTTAAAACTATACAAGTGCACATCATGAATACACTGTGAAATACAAAAATATGTTAGGCAAATACAACAAAAAGCATGCACAATATTTTTGATTATTAAATTCAAATTCTTTACATGAACTCTTGCGAACGTGTTAAATATTCAAACATAATGTCTTAAAATATTATGCGGGATTAAAGACATGTAGAAGTAATATTCTTTTTTTTAATACAAATTAAATTTACTCACATGTGCAATGACAAATATGCAGGTTAAAAATGCAATGAATTAAACAGAAAAAAATTCTTGATCGATCTTTCATTTAAAAATTAGCATAATTTTTTTATTCCAAAAATATCATATATGCTCCAATCAATACATCAAATTCGTAAATTTATGGTATGAGAATACTGTATAGGCCAAAATAAAAATAAACTTAAATTTTAAGTTTGATCTTTATCCTCAAATGGACCAAATTTGACAAGACTTGAGCTTATTGAATAAATATATGACTGTGAAATCCACGAACATATCTGGTTTTGGATTCACATTAAGCATTCAATATCTTTTACAAAGAAAATTGATTATAAAATACAAACTCTCGAGCAAGCACTCCCATGATGATTCATAAAGATGATATTTGAATTTGATCTTGTGTTGATTGGTAAACATAGTTGATAGGATTCAAATAATAAAATAAACTTATTTGAAACCCGATGATGATCATTTTGACAAGAAATCTCAAGTGGGGGAACTACATGATTTTCAAAGTACCCCAATTTCTAAAATTTATTTACCCAAGGCTTAAATTCCAATAAAATTAAAAAAATCAATACTTATTAAAATATTTAACATTCAAGTAAAATATACTCTTAATAACTTTAACACAAATTCATTTGTCTGTAATTGTTTTTTAGAGATGATAAAATTTAGAACTCAGTTCACAACGAATAAATATCTTGTTGAGTATATCACTAAATTTCATTTTTTAAATAGTCTCTCCCCATTAAGGATGTCGCATGTATCTTCTAACCGGTGGTTTAGCCGCCAAATGACACTACAATTCAGCAGTTATGACTAAGGCTTTTTGACCAAGTGATCTTACTGCAAAATGACACCGCTAAATTATGGTCTTGGTTGAGCCTGCATGCTCCTCAGTGGCTAAAAAGCTCTAGCGTAAGGGTGCACTTGATGAGGACATAAAGCCCTTTGTAAGCTAAGGTTGACCTGAATTTATTTTCTTTAATAAACATTGACTAGGTTTATAAGGTTTCCTTAGACAAAGCAATTTTTGATTGTCGACAATGATTCATTGGTCAGGTTGGGTCGACCACCTCCTCTAACTACGTAAACCAAGAACAAAGATAACCCTAGACAATAGAGTAATAGGATTTTTATTGGGGTTCTCATCATTTCCCCATCATTGGCTTTACGTGTAATATGGTAAATTTTAAATTCCATACTAAATTTATTGCTACTATATGCTTGGTACATAGTGCCTAAACGATTAGCCCTACTCGTAAGAACTCTCTCATATCCAAGAGAGGTAATTAATCATAGGAACTTACGCCTAATAGAAAAATCTGAAATAGATTATAAAGTCCTCGCAAAATGAGGGTGAAATCTCTAAGTAATGTTTATCTTAAATTTAATTAAAATTTTAAAAATTTGACCCAAAACACAAAGAGGTTTTGGTAGGAATTTTCGGATCCGACAAATATGCCATAATGAGGTAGATAAAAAAGTATTTTTCACAAATAATGGAATATAATTTGTAAAATAGAATATCATATTTTTGAATGTTAAAATTCATGTATTTTTGCTCAACTTTTAAAAAAATTGTTAAATTGGAAATATTATTGAATAATTCATATGTACAATATTATATGGTATAATATGCGGATTTACTAAGTTTGATTCAGAGTTTGTACCATCCCCTTGACATGGTTATTATTGATGATTTGCCTAAAAAACATAAATATTCCTTTAAATTTACCTTGTGTTTATTGTCTTCTATGAACCTGCAGATTATTACGGTTATATTCACCCCTCTTTCATAAGATTTGTGGCTAAAATGTTGATAGCTTAGCTAAACTAATTTGATGTATCTCATTCTCAATATTCTTCTCCTCGTCGTGCATATGGTTGGATGATTGTATTCCTTGTTATATTCGTGGAAGGGAAGAACTTTTTCAGGTCAAGAACTTCATTAAGAAAATTCAAATGAGAGCTTCAATTAACTTCGTCTTTCTCATCATGCATGCAAAAAAGCCAGTTTACGCAAGATAAAAAATTACCATTGCTCACTCCAGTATCATTTGCATTCATGTTTATGAGATGAATTATTTTCTCAATCATTCTGCATTTCTTGGAAATTAGTTTACTACGCTGATTTTCTGTCCAATTTGCTATAAAATAATTAATCTTCAGTAATTATTTCGGAGAGGTTAATCATTGTTGCCACCATTAGTTCTTCTACTGTTCCTACAAGGATCCTATAATATAATTTTTTTTTGGCTTTCGTTGACCTTTTGGCAAGCGATTTAAAATTAGTTCATTTTAATTTCTCTTGGGCCAGTATTTAGCTATTTATTTTGATTCTAACTTAAAACCCGTATTTATCCTAATTAATAATTAATATTATATTTTTATTGAACTAGTCAGGAATGCTATAGAACTTGACGGATATAGACCTCCTTCGGAACTTCTTCAAATCCTTCCTGCAAAATCAACAATCAGGGGATCTGAAGTTGGCCCTCAAATTGGTCCTAACAATCCCAAGTTCACTCTGGTAGACTTTCATCGAACTCTATATGCGTGCTGCGTAATTGAGCCTGTGCATTGTGACATGCATATTTGTATTCCAGGGAATGCAGGCATTATTGGATTTAATCTCCACTGTTAACGGTTCAGTTTCAGAGGGAGCGAAAATCCTCGGGTAGGTTCCCTGTGTTTTGTTCTTTTCTCTGCTCTACAAGGAAGGCTCTTTTTTGATTTTGTCATAGTTCTTTTTTTAATACAATACCATGTAATGTAAAATGTACTTGGTTTTCACCCAAAAAGGCTAATTTTGGAACTTAATTTCAATTCTCAGTCAACTAAATGCATGCAATCTCAGGAAAAGGGAATATGAAAAATAAGAATAGATTTACTTAAAGGCCCAGGCAGCATCAGCTAATCAGTTTGCCTATTTATTTTTCTCCTTGCAGTTTTCTGTCTTTGTTATCGTTTTCTCTGGTGGATCGTTGGACTATTTTTTCTTGTTTTAATTCTAGATTTAAAGTTCTTTTGCTTCCGTTCTTTGTTAGGAAATATTTGAAGATCTCAAGTAAACCCTAACAATAGAGACAAAACAGCGAGAAACTTCACAAAAACTGATGGAAAACATAACAAAAACAGTAGTTTTATTGTAAGAGAAGAATTAAGGTAACAAGGAAAGCAAGATACAATTGATCTTCAATTCAAGAGAAGGATCATTCTCTCCCAATCCCTAGACAAAGCTAGGGCTCAAGACACCAAGAACAAGACTCCAAATCATCCACAATGATCAAGCATAACCCTAACCCTAACCCTAATCCCTCCTTCCTACTTAAAGCATACAATTAATCAATTAAGTCAAATTACATGTAAGCCGTTGCCTTTTCGCCCCCTCCTTTTAGCTTCAAACTATTTGAATTTGAATCCCTAGTGGATACCATTTCTCTTGCCGCATGCCTCCTATAAACGTGAGCCAGCCCTTGGCAAGGGGCCAATTGGACCAGTCTAACATTCTTCTTATGCTAGTGTGTGCATAACTGCATATCATGTGGACATAAACATTCTTCTTAACTCTCTTCGTTGACAATGCAGGCTAAGTACTGGTGCCCTGTCAAGGTTGATACTGTCAGATGATTCTCTCCGAGCTGCTGTAAATGAGCTCAGAACATCCAAGGTGAACTACTTTCTCTTTTCTTCTGCTTTCATGTGCTTGGTTTCATAAATGAATTGAAAGCTTTCATTCTGTGTGTTCATCAATTTGAACTCTCTATGATTTGAGTAGAAGTATTCTCTTTTGTGTTTTCATTTACGAATACAACATAATCTTTAGCCCTCCTTTAAAAAAATTTGATTAACAAGTAATGGCTATAGTTATAGTTATAGTTGACAACATAATCCTCATTATTTTTGATCCATTTGCTCCTTTGGCGAAAATGAAACATATGAGGATTGATCTCCTCTGCAATATGCTTTCAAAGTGCTTGCGCAATTGAGCATTAGTGATGCTGTGTTTGTTTGGTAATCATGTAGTAGTTAAGCTCGAGGAAAAAGTTGATCAAGTGATTACTAAAGTGCAAAATGTGCAGATAAAAGAAAGAAATTAAAGAGCATGAATTAATGAGATTTCATGCTTTTTTAAGGTTTTCCCCCTCGGACATTATATTCAACCTTGGATCTACTCCAAAGGATATTATTGAGATCTTTGGAAAATTATAGAATTCTAAATTAATTTCTTCGAATCAAGAAGCCATGTCTGGTTGCACATTCAATAATCAATCTGAAAATTCTAAATAAAACATTCTTCAGTAGCAAGAATAGTTCAATGAACTGGAAATTAGTAAATTAAAAAAATAATAAAAGAGAATAGATCATCTCTATTACAAAGGTTCAACTTCTAACTGTGTTCTATACTAAATTGAGGGATATTATATCGGAAAAAGATAGAAAATATATTCATTTATAAGGAACTTACAGAGATTTCAAAGGTTGATGCGTTTTAATGAACTTCAAGAAAGAAAAACACTCAAAATCAGTCTTTGAGTCACACTTAGCAAGGACGAGGAGGATTCCTTATGTACACAAGAAATGCATAAGGTATGTGTGTTTGGGGGGGTGTGTGTGTGTATATATATTATATATCTAATTTGTGGTTGGCGGGAAGCAGGCTTGGACGCGGGCTCAGATGCGAAATTGCGAGGGGCGGAAAGGCAAAATCACGGGCTGGAAAGCGAGCTTGGAAGCGAAATCAGAGCTCAGACGTGGGAGGCGAGGCAAAAGCGTACGAGAAATCGAGCCGCCTGACGAGCTCGTTTCAGTGGCATCAGCTGAGCTTGAGCTCGAGTTCAAGCTAGGGATTTGGCTTGCAAGTCGAGCTCGAGTTTAGGTTTGACTCAAGCTCGACTCGACTTGTTGCACCCCTAGATATAAGTTATTAAATTAACAAATATGTTTTGCTTTGATTACTACTGCTTTCTTCTATAGTAGTCATTTAATTTCTTTTTATGAAAATCATCAGTTTCAATTTCCAGTTTTATGGTCATGCCACATGTTTATGCTTATTTGTGAAGTAGCTAAACTGATTGAATTTCTGCTTTCCATCCAGGGCATGAGACCTCTCAAGTGAGTTATTGAACTTCATACTAGAAGCACATGAATTAGGTAATTTGCAAGTTTCCTCATGAAATTTGGCTCATTGAAATTAATATTCACTGCTAAATAGTTCCTGTTGAAATTCTCTTGTTTATTTTTCAATAATAAGGCCTCTTATCTTCATTGGGGAATGTTAAGTTTGTACTTCCTACAGATTAATGCTTGGTTTGGAACGGTTTTTTTATTGTTTCTTAAAATAATTTTTTAGTAAAAAATTAAATTTTTTGTACTAAAAGCTGCTTTAAAAAGTAAAAAGAAAGCTGTCCCGAACAAAACCTAACTTTCATTTGATTCAACTTTTTGTTTATTTTATATGGAGATATTATGTAAGTTTTTTTTTTTAATATTGACTGAAAAATCTATATGTACCTGTCTTAAAATCTGCCCCTTCTAAAGAAATCAAAATTTTCAATCACTAGATCAATCAAATGTCTCTAAAATAGCATGAACATGATATGCTTCTTAGGTGAAAAAAAGTTGGATACTTTTCCAGTAATATGCTTGAGAAAAGCTAATTTTGATGGTAAGATAAAGATTGTGGTGTAAAGATCTGGCTTGAAAATTAGAAAACATCATTCAAATCAAGCAAAATCATCTCTCTTTTTCTCTTGCCAAAATCAATCAGATTGTAGGGAGAGGTGTGAATCAAGTTGTCACCTTGATCTGCTAGAATTGGCGTAGTTGGTAGATCGAAACTTTACTCGGCTAATTTCTGAAGAAAGCCAACTCCCCATGATCTATTATCTTGGCAGCCAGGTCTTTCTCTTGGATCTCTTGCCAGAATTATGTAGAGGATTTCAAAAGTAACTGCTGCAGCCTCTGAGAAATACAGAGAAATTTTGACATGGCCACTTTCCGAACTACATGCTACTACCCACGGCCACCCATGTATCCACTCATACTCAATGGGTATGGGTGGATATGGGTACGCCTATGACCTTATGGGTGGGTATGGGTGAGTACTCAACATCGGGGGATAAATCGATTTACATTGCTAATCACCGTATATCTTATATTACTGAAATCTTCACTATGTAGTATGCATCACTTAACCACGTTGCGACTACGGTAAATTCTGATATGTGGCTTGAAAGTTTGCAATCAGAGCAAAGGGAAACTAGCCTCAAGGACATTGGTCCGTGGCAGAGTGCGTTCAAAAAGCAGGGAAAGTGAGTGGGTATAGATGGGTATGACATCCCGAAAGTTACCATGGTTGGGTGTGGGTGGGCGAAACCTGTCCGAGTAAAGCATGGGTACCCAACCAAGACCCCATGTAGGACTTTACTTGCAATCCCTCGAGCCCTCGTCGCTTTCTATAATAGCTGTCTTACAATTGATCGACTGTACGATGGAATTAACCCCTTCTATACTCTCTCCACTTGTCCTACTAAACTTGCACATGACAGAACTCGGTGGAAGCTCCAGTCACTTTCATCAAGGGACCTTACCCAACCAACTTCAGGCCTACGAAAGGCTTTCTCCTAGACCTACACGTGTGTGCTTGAACTAAAGCCTAAGCCAGTGATTCGCCAAAAAGATGTTTCAAGGAATTTAGGTGATAAGTATGGTAAATATTAATTAAATAATTAGTTAGTAATTAAATATTTAATTGATTAATTAGGTTATTATAAGTATAATTAGTAATTAAAATTTACTAAAATAATATATAGAAAAGTAATGAAATAATTAGTGTAAATAGTAATTAAATGATTAATTTTAAATTATAATTAATTAAATAATTAGATAATTATCATTATAATTAGCATTGAAATACTTATTAAAATAACACCTAAATATGTTATTAATAAAATACATATTAAAATAACATCCTACTTATAATATTCATAATTAAACTTAGAATTAATAAATAACTCATATTTAAAACACAAATACATATGAATTAACTATCTTAAATCCTCAATAACATTTTCAAATAATATTTAACATATTATAATCCTGAATAGGACTTATTAAAATTTAACTTATTTCCTACTAAATAATTTTTAGGATTTTAATAAATTCGGATTTAAAGAATTTACAAAATCCTACATGCATCCAAACAGGCCCGTAAGTTTTGGCTTATTAACTATTTGTTTTGGCATAGGGTTTTGTTATAATGTGCAACATTGCAAATGATGGTGATATACATCCAAATATTTCCTACATTATTTTTTGTTTAAGAGCTTGTGCTAACTATATTTCTTCTTTTTGCTATCTTTTATTTTTGGCTCTTGAGCTTTAATCTACGTTTGATTTGATTAAAATTGAGCCTCGGCTTGTAATTATCGGAACAACAAAAAGCCTTTGATGAAGGAGAAAGAAGCGTACCGCTAAGGAGTGTAACAAGTTGTGTGTCTCTATCAGCTCGTAATGATTTGAGCTCGAGCCGGCTTGACTCATTTACACATCTATGCTGTAGCGTGTCAAACATCACTTTGTTCGCAGATTTCTTGAACAAGATCAAAGGGCCTAAATCAAGTGGCGAAGCCAGAAATTTTTAAAAGGAGCCCAACTTTAATCTTGCTTCAGCCAATTTTTATATTCAGATTCAGTTAATCGCTTTACAGTTTATACGTATTATGAAAAATCAAGAGCATTTTATGAGCTCCTTTTGCATTTAAATTAGTTTAAGGAGTATGTTAACAAAATAATTTAAAAAGGAGCAAATACGGAATTTAATTATTCGATTTCAAAGAAACATGAAGTTCATTATCCAGTTTCTATTTAAATTATGATTTTTTAAGAAACTGGATTATCATTGTTGTGTCATGGAATATTTGCGGCGGTATAGAAATATAAAGTTTAACATCTTAACGTTGTACGGAGATTCAATATGCAATCAAATAAGATGATAGGGTGTAGCATTTATAAGAGACACCAAAATTTTTATATGGAAAACCCTGAATAAGGGAAAAACTACAGGAAATGTCCCAGTTTGAATGAATCCACTAGTATTTGTAATTGATTACAAATGAGGCCCTTCATTGGAGGAAGGCCTTGGCTTGATGTAACCAATATACATCATATAGTGTGTTACATGATGGAAATAGGAAGAATCACTTTTGACGTATTCATTTGGTCGGAAGGACCATAGTCTGTGGACAACTGAGGTCGAAAAGACCGTAGTCAAGTGAAGGTGGTCGGAAGGATTGTAGTTGAAACTCTGAAGACTGTCTAAAGTTATGGAGACAAGCAGAAGTCTGACAACGGGTGGAAGTTTCGTGTCGGGTAGAAATCTAGCAACGGGTGAAAGTCTGGTGTCGGGTAGATGTCCGATGAAATTCTGGCGATGAGCAAATTTCCCCCGACACAAATTTGGGGCAGGTGGAAGTCCGATGACGGGCAGAAGTCTAAAGTCTAGTAGAAATCGGGTGAGGAGGAGTCTGGTAGCCCGAGAGATCTTCCTTCTCTTCTTGCTTCGTCCTCCTTTCTTCCTCCCTTCTCCATGAGAAATAAGGGGTCTATTTATAATTTTTTAAGAGTGACATGGCTATTAAATAGGAGGAAGATCAAGGGTAAATGTGGATTGGTTTGAATGGATGACCAATATCGATTCCTTTGATTATAAGACCGTTTATTGAGAATTTGAGTGCCTTAATGATATAAGAATTTGGCAATTTTGAGCTCGTTGGATTTGTCTCGTCGAATTTCTTGATTCGACTATAGGGATGTAACGTTTGGCAACCCTCTAGTCATAATATTTAGGGTTTGAATCTTCCAAGTGTGCTTTGGGTCATTGATTTGGACTAATTTGAGCTTGGGTTGAGTCAAATTTGGTGTCATTGGGTTCATATTTTTGAGGCGTTCAGTTCGACTATAAGTTTGCTAAAATCGAAGTTCATATGGTCTCTAATTTAATATTTAAAATTTTCAACTTTATTTTGCTTCAAGATTTGTACCCAATCAATAATTTTTTTTGGTGATATATTAAATCCTCCCCAAAAAAAAAAACCCAAACCAAAACCACATTTTCAAACTATTTTCCCTACTTTTTGTCCTATAAATATCCCTTTTGGATAAGGGGAAAATTGCACAATTTCTTCTTCTCCCTTATTCCTTTAACTTTCAAACAGTTGAGGCTTTTCACTATTTTTTGTAGGTGGCATGCACTACTTTAATTCAATGCCCCCTCTATTGTAGAACTTAAAATTGTTTAGTCTTCATCTCCTTTTCGTCCCCACTTTCATTCTTACCTTAAAGGCTTTCCATTATGTTTGGTAGGTGTTATCCCCAACCTAAATTCAGTGCGCATCTTTAGTGTACAAGATTTTTTTTTCCTTTTTCATTCTCTTTTTCCTTAGCTTTTCTCTTACATTAGTGAAATTCTACTATTTGAGATAGGCGGCATCCCGTATCAGGCTTCAGTACCCCTCTTTTGTATAGAAGAAGTTTTCTTCTTCTTCCTTTTTCTTTTTTGATTTTTTTTCTTATATTAGAGGCATTCTACTGTTTGAGATAGGTGGCATTCCCTATCAAGTTTCAGTACCTCTCTTTTGTATAAAAAAAGTCACGATGAGAATTTATTCTCTCAATAGATAACTCTTGATAGAAGAAGATCAACCATTTTTTGCATATAAGGGTAATTTAAGAAGTTATGGCGGTAATAATACCTAGGAGGAGAACCACTGATTGTTAGTAGATGAGAAGAATTTTAATATTGTTCGAGCCGAAGTCTGTTAGTGATCGATGATCGAGTGAAAGTCTAATGTCGATTGATGATTGGGTGGAGAGTTGAAGGAGAAAATTGGAAAGTGTGTTGTTAAGGTGAAGGATCGATGAAATATCGACCATGGCAGGTGTCAAGTAGCATTTTACTAAAACAATATGCATCCATATTGACATGTGCGGACATCTTGTATCTCTTATGAAAGGGGTTGTAGTGTACCCTTTCAATTTTCTAGCGACACACTAATATTGTTAACTTAGTGGAGGCCTAATAATGATTAAGTTATAACCTTTCTTTAAAGAATAAGTTGTAGGTGATGATTCAATGTGTAGTAGAGAATATATCACTTATATCCACTTTGAAGTTTTTTGCTGCTTGATGGCATTAACTTGTACAGATGATGTCAATATACTTTTAATTTCAATTTCTTGTAAAAATGGACGTGTGCTTGAACCTG